CTTGCAGAAAACGTATTTCGATTGACGAGCTTTCGCTCAGTTAACGAGTTATGAGTGCGTGTCTCTGATTTTATTTTGCTCCCAGGGCGTGCGCACCCGGTCGCCTGCAGCCAATAAGTGAACTGATGCAGTCTGATTGGCTACGTTTTGCAAGACGGGCGTTTCACGTGACGAGCACGGTGCCGGAACGAATTAAACTCATCACCAAAGTTCCCCTCTACATTACAAAAAGACCTGGTCATTTTTAAACTTATCCTCCGAATGTTCTTTTCAGCTGCCGGTGTCTCCTATGTTTTTGCAGCTGACATTATACTACAGCGCCACTTTAAAACGGTCAAGCAATTTTCTGATCGCATCCTTATTTAGGTCACCTACCCTCTCCAGTCTGAACTAATGGCTGTGAAGTCTTCCCGTACTATGTGCCGAAGCTTCCGTCATATGTCTTGCCGTATATCGGCACATCAGCACTCTGTACTCCCATTTCTAGCACCCTCCCTCACATGGGAAGGAACGGAAATGGAAAAGTTGAAAGCCAACCTTTCTCCATAACAGATGTGGATATCGTGTAAAATTCTAAACATTGAGTATTTTATGACTTTTTACCTTCCCTTAACCCTTGCTTTCCGTGAATGTAGCCATTTTTGCTGAACATTTTGGATATTACCTTTAAAAAAAAGAATTTCTCTCTCATGACTATAGTTCGCGTATTCCGGGGTCTTTTGAGTTAGGCGATCCTATGATGATACTTATAAGCTAGTCTTAGCGAGCAGGCTAAATAAGCAACTAAGCATCCACTTATATGAACTACTAAGGTAATCAAATTAATGCAACGGATCTTTCCGTTTTCGGTCATACGACCAGCTAGATCTCTCCCTTCCCCTCTTTCCTAATGCCCAGCGTTTGCTAGAACGAACGCTTTAAATCCGACCTCACACTTGAAAGGTGAGGACAGTTTGTAAGCATGGTTGATTTGCCGCAAAAGAACGCAAGCACCTGCCAGAATAAGAGAGAGATAATTGCTTTAGTTTGAAGGTAATACCCAAACTTTTCAGAAGAAATGGTTCCATTCACGGAGAGCAAAATATAGGGTAAGGTAAAAGATCATGTAATATTCAAAATTAGAGGTTTACACGATATCCCCATCTGTTATGCAGACAGGTCGGCTTTTAACTTCACAATTTCCGTTTCTTCACACGTGAGTTAGCGTGCTAGGAATGAGAATACAGAGTGCTGATACGCCGATGTACGGCAAGACATACGACGGAAACTTCGGCGTATATTACGGGAAGACTTCACAGCCATTAAGGTGAGCGACCTCACTAAGGATGCGATCAGCAAATTGCTTGACCGTTTTACGGTGTCGCTGTTTTATAATGTCAGCTGCAAAAACGTAGGAATCCCGGCAGTTGAAGAGAACATTCGGAGGAACGTTTGAAAATTACCAGGTCTTTTTAAGTAAAGCTGGAACAAGTAAGTGGAGAGCAGTAAAGAATGAGGGGGTGAATACAGGCATTCATAAATCGCCAGATTAGGGCCTGCGATAAGTCGGCGTGAGGGTTGTGGTGTGTGTGCGCGTATGCGCGTGCTTTTGACGAAGCTGCTCGAGGCCGACCCCCCCCCTTCGCTATCTCCGGCCCCAGTGTCCTTTGTCCCCTCACCCGCATTTGGCACACATACGTCGCCAGAACGCGGTCGCCGTTACTATAGCG